GTTGCGCTTCTTCAAAACCTCTCTCTCTACTTGTAAAACTAAAATGATTTTGATTGTAATTAAGAATATCACACAGAATGATGAAAGTAGCTCGAACCTGTCTTAACCAAAGGATTTTGGAAAGAAATATCCGAATAGAAACGGGAATCAAACAACTTAAGCTTCTTCAAGCTTTTTGAGTTTTAAGACAAGTAGTGACTAAAATACACTAATAGTCACCAAATTCCCCCATAAAGAGAGAGAAGAGGACACACAAGTGATTTTTGTTTTAAACAGTTCTTTTGACATTAATAATGTCTTCAGCTTAGGAATCAGATTTAACTCAGGTTGACCTCAGTGGTGGAGCCACCAATATCACTCCATCTCCTCTCACAAATAGAAACTGAATCGTGCGCTTTGTCATCTGCAAACAGTGATAGTCAAAGAAAACCAAATCATAAACAAGAAGAGACAAAACCCCACTAATCCTAACTAGATCAGAAACTAGCACAACTAGACGAGTCTCAACAACAAATGTGTGCCTTATTAAGCAGCTTAAAGAGTCTTCACTACCTAGAAAACAGTCACTAACTTGCAGTTTCCTCCTGATTTGGATCCAATAGCTTATAGAGCAACAAGATCCATGTAGGAATCAGTGACATTTCTGTTACGCGTCTCAATTCAAGCAGCTAAGTAAATGTACTACACAGACTCATTGAGCTGAAACTTTTATTGTGAAAGCTAAAAGACACTTCTTCTCTAACAATACCCTTATACTAAGATACAAAACCATCAAGATCCCCTCAATTATCCACGCAATTAAACATAAATCATATTTTTACTCATAGAACAAGCACGTACCCGGACAATCTCTTCGTAAGTCTCGTCATCGATTTCTACTGTCGTGATAACTTCTTCAACATCACCCAGAATCATATTCAAATGCTGATCAAACGCCTGCCCAAATTAAAAGATAACCAAAAACATCAAACCTATAAGTGTCGAAATTTCACTAACTTGTCAAAATTGAGATTTTCTCGCCGATTACATTACAGCCCATTAATTCGCAATCACATCTATGAATAGCAAAACTTTCAAAAAATTGAAACTCCAAAAGGTAAAACCCTAAACTATCTCCCCCAAAAAAGGGCCAAATTCGACATGAATCATTGAAAATCAGCAAAATAAGTTACAAAATCCACACTACCTATATGTCAATTTAGTTACACAAAAGAGCAAAATCGAAGATACTACTACTACAACAACTCACAAACGA